ATTATTTAAAAATTATTTTATAAATCTAAATAATGCTACAATAATTATATAATTTAAATAATTTGACTTAAGCTGGTATAAAGAGAGTCTTAGAGTTTAGTTTTTAATTTAGGATATTCAAATTAATTTAGCCCTTTAGGAGAACATTAAAAATTTTTTGAAAACACTAATAATATAAATTAAGTTCTTTTGAGAGCATAATTTTAAATTTGAATTTTAAACGCTAGTTATAACATGCCTATAGATGCTGTTTAGTGATCTATTTATTTTCTATAGTAATATAAGAAATGAGTAGGAAGATAAAATTCCACTATAGCAGGTCAAACATAGGTACATATTTGATATAACCAGGTTAGTCAAAACTTGTAATTTTAAATGACCAAAGCAATTGTTTTGATAAAATTAGTTGATAGTGTAGTTTGTTAATTTAGGCCTAATAAAGTTTTGGCATGACTACTAAATTTAAAAAAAAAATAAAAAAAAAAAATAAAAAAAAAGTAAAAAAAAAATATAATTAAATTAAAATTATTTTTTTAATATTGTATAATAATCATTTAGAGTAATATATAGTAATAGGCTACTAGTTAGCATATCTTTAACTAATTTTTTTACCAATATATAAATGTTTTTTACTGATATTAAAATGATAGATAAATTTTCTTATTATATCTGTTTATAGTTAATAGTCTATTGGCTCTAGCCTAATTATTTGAAGATATTATATATTAGCTTTTTATTGCCAACTATCTTCTAGACTAATTACTTAAAGATATTATATATTGATTTTATATTTTCAAATATCATCAAATATTATTTAGGCTAATTATTTGAAGATGTTATATATCAACCTTTTTATTAAACCAATATGTAGTATATTTTCTTAAAATATTTACTTATTAGCTTTTTAACTCTATTTAATCAATTTATATTTAATAGTCTATTACTTTTATATCATCTAGGTGATTATTTGAAGATATTATATATCAACCTTTTTTATTAAACTAATATGTAATATATTTTCTTAAATCATCAATATATCAGATTTTTTTATCTCTATTTAATTAATTTATATTTAACAGCCTATCACTTTTATATCACCTAGGTGATTATTTGAAGCATATGCTCTGATTTTTGGAATCTATAAGTAAAGCTAATTTTTTTAAAAACTTTGAAGCTAAATAACTTTTGATTTACTAGTTTGTTTTAAATGATTTTACTACCAAAATTTTCATCTCTTTGAGATGATTCCAACAGGCCCAAAATCATAAAAACAAACCAGTAAATCAAAAGTTATTTAGCTTCAAAGTTTTTAAAAAAATTAGCTTTACTTATAGATTCCAAAAATTGAAGCATATGAATATTATATATCAACCTTTTTTATTAAACAGATATATAGCATATTTTCTTAAAATATCTGCCTATTAGCTTTTTATCTCTATTTAATCAGTTTATAATCTACAGCCTCATATTATCTAGGCTAATTATTTAAAGATATTATATATCAACCTTTTATTCTCAAATATTATCTAGCCAATTATTTGAAGATGTTATATATCAACTAAGCCGATATGTAACATATTTTCTTAAATCACCAGCATATCGAATTTTTTTATCCCTATAATAATCGGGTTATAGCCAATAGCCTATCACCCTCATATCATTTAGGCCGATTATTTGAAGATATACAAATGATATAGAGATGATGTTTTTGATTATATAGTGTATATGATTAAGTGTACCGGTTAGATATATAACTAACAGAATTCGAATAAGTGCTATTTATTCATTCGAGTTATCAGATACGAAGCAGCTAATCATACATCCAATGACTGAAGTCTCACATGACGAATAATGAAAATTATTCGAATAAAATTTGCTTATTCGAATAAGGTATGGTATTCGAATTATTCATCAGATAAATATTCGCCGAGTACAAATATTATTCGAATAACAAATATGAATACGAAGCTCTAGTTATGCTGTTAGAATATAATATATATCTTAAAATATTTACGACTTGTATAATTTTTGGAGTTTGAACCCGGTTTAATTTTTTATATGGTTCCAAACTTAGCATTTAACAATAATCACGTGGATATACAAAACTTGCAATTTCAAAAAAAATAATCATCAAAAAAATAAATATACTTTTATAAGGTTTATACCTCAAAAACATATACATCTACTAATAAATAAACATTGACAGCATGGAACATCGACGCCAAAAATAATATTCGGCTTATCAGCAACAGCACAGCTGCAAGTTTTGAACAAACCATACCATCGTCTCTGTTAACGTAATTCATTCAGGGTCATCACAGAAATACGTTGATATTGGAAACCATTCCTTACATTTAACCCTAAATTCTTCAGCTTTCGAAGAATTAAAAATGGATTTGAGAGTTTCGTACACCTTGATGCAATTCTAGCGATTGGAATTTTAAATTTTAGATGGTCAAATGAAAAAAAATAGAATAGTCGGATTTACGAACCTCTAACGTCCTTGTACTAGCGTATTCTTCAGAATCGACCATTAGCAAAAGGTTTTCAGCTTCTTGTTTCTTTTCTGGATCTATAGCATACAAAGTTTCGGCTCCAACTAATAAGTGTAATATGCTTTTGTTTCTTTCTAAAAATCGCTCATTAAATTCGACCAAGGGCATATTTTCCGGTATTAGGGTTACTTTTTCAGAAGCAATAACTTGGTTTATTGTTGGATTAATTTCCTTATTATCAGATACTGAATGAATCATTAGTTAAAAATAAGCGTTAAAAAAAAAAAAATGCAAACGACAGATGTTATTACCTGCTAAATGAAATCGTATTATATCATTATGCAAAGTAGCGTTTTCTTTGTCGATACTGTAAGCACGTAAAAGAGCTTTAAGAGCAAGAAGGTACTTTTCTAGACAAAAAAAACATCATGTAAATAAGAATGAGTTATCAATAGTCGAACAATATCAATAGTATTATCATATAATGATACTTTTTCGTAGATAGATCTCGAATCCTAGTAAATGTGTTTCTATCCTTTTTGGCGACAGTTCTTGCAACGGAAGCAAGAATTTGAATGCTTCTCCTAAAGGATCTTCAGTCTATAAATAATAAATAAATAAATAGATAAAGAAATAATAATAAATAAATAAATAAATTATATATGAATATGTAAAGCTACACTTGATATAAGAAAGCTAATATATAAGAAAGGTTTAACATGAAATAATTTCCAATTTAACTTTCACCACAAAAAATGTTAGACTAATGTAAAAGAATTTTTTTACTAAATTATTTCCTTGTATCGAAGACGAATTGTATTAAGGCCTCATATATGATACATCACTTAATAATTTTGAAATAATGACGAACCTTAAGAAGCTTTTCACCATCTGGGTCATCATCTTGGGGTTTATCAACCTTTCTTTTCACATCTTCCTTTGCTTTTTCTAATAAAATGTGTTTAATTACTGTATGCAAAAAATACAGTAAAAAATTTTTGGCAAACCTTTTCTTTCTTCATCTTCTTTTTGTTTTTTAAGTGCAGCTTTTTTAGCCTTGCTTTTTAGTTTCTTCTTCTCACCCTCAGTCATATTTGCTAATACCACATACAGTTACTGAGTCTGTTTGTAATATATATCTACATAGTTGTAGGCAATGATGAACTTACCATAATCTTCATTTTCTTCACTGATAGTAACCGTATTTGGATTGTCATACAATTCGATATAGATCTAAATCATTTTATATACATAATAGTTAAATAGAAAATAAAGTATGGATGATTAATAATGCAGTATTATACTACCTTTATTGCACTTTGTGCTGCACGAAAATAATATGGATGCGAACGCAATTGATCCTCCAGCCGTAGCATGCTATTGCAAAATTTAAGGCATGTCATTAAATAAAAAATTTGATTGATAGAGTGCATATCTGTTGATATATACCTCAAGTATGCCCGGAGAGTGACTTTACGTAAGCAATAAGTGTGAAAATCGAATTGATCGTCCGTTATATCAGCAAAATGCTAAATTTTAATATTTAGAATGAATAATGTTTAATTAAACCAATTTATTAACTATAGAGAAATAGAACCATACCTTTTCAATTTGGTGAAAACGTTTTAGAGCTTTACCCCATTTTTTTTGCCTTATATAGCTTTCACCTTCTTCAAGGACAAACCACATACATTGCATATCTGCAAGATCTGTTAATGGATCGGGAGCATCACCCTTTAAAAATGCATACGTAAGACAACTTTCTGGAAACGAAACACCATGTACCTAATACCGCCAGTTATACAAACCCTAGTAAATAATCCGATTTTTTGCTCAGCCTCCTCAGTTTGATCGTTCCTGAGCATGTACTTTGAACATTTAGAATTAATGAATCTGTCTTGAAGGTCCAATTCACGGGCTTCGTTCATCACTTTCATGGCTTCGTCAAGGTTTCCACCATGCTATCATATATACAGAATTTAAATTTTTGTTAATACTCATTTTTCAATTTTTTTCCTATATAGTCCCTAATATAGTTGTCAAAAATTCAGACCTTTAGAATGCGGCCCTTTGTCATATATAATTCGACCAAAGTGGGCGTGTGCTCGATTGCTTCGTCAATTAATGTGAGGGCCTTCGTTGTATCACGTTTATTGTCGTAATGCTGGGAAAGCAAGTAAAACGTCCATAGATAAGCGGTAGGTGGTTCTTTCACATCATCATCATTTTTAGATTGGGTGAAGGTACCATTATTCTTTAGACATTCGAGGTATCCTTCAACTAATTGCTCGATGATAGCTTCTTTTTGAGGATCACTATAGAGCTTTTTGAGATTGACAAACAAAGACGGGACCCCTTTACGAAGTGCAGCTTGTATATACTCATCTGCAAACATCTTGAAATTATCACCTAGATAAAACATTCAACAATGTTAAGATTAAATTGCATTGAAATAGGTTAATATTAAGCAAGATTTACTAACAGACCGACCGGTAGTATATAATAAAGGAAATAGTTTGATCGCGTTCGACTTTGGATATTTTTGGGCTAGATCTTTATATAGAGCGATGATTTTTTCTTCACACTCAGGTGTCAGGTCGTCTAGAAAATTATCCTCAACATTTAAATAATTGATTCTTTTATTTTTTTTTATGCTGATCATCTTATTTTGTGGATGAATCAAATGACACACATACTAGTATCAATCCCCTTAGCTATTTGAAATCCTTCATAATAACTGTAACAATCAGGATTATCGTCAATTAATTCTTCATATGCCGCTTCTGCTTCTTGAAGTCTATTAAGTTTCAATAAAAACTGGGCTTAAATCAAGATATATTACTAATGAGCTAGAGAATTAAATGAAAAAAAATTTAATTTATTCGGTATTGACCAATAATTCAAACCTCTTTTTTCTTTCCAAATTCGACGATCACAAACGTTGCTTTTAATAGATTCTAAATGTTCTAAAGCCGCTTCAGTATTACCACTTTCTTCTATAATAAGATTATGGTATAGTAGCATTTCGCTATGCTCGTAATTCGGTTGACCAGGCTTAAGAGTTTCTTCGTAAGTTTTCAAAACTTTTTCAGCAGTTTCGTAATTTCCCAATAGATGATAAGATATTGCAAGTCCTATCCAATATCTTTGATTATTTGGTCTCAACTGTAAAAGGTGATGGCGTGATTCCTTGATGTTTAGAAATATAAGATATAAAACTTATTACGAGAATCATGTAAAAGTGATCAATTGCCAGTTTTTTTTTTTTTCTATTTCTCACATTAAAAGCTTCATAATTTCGCATTTGGATTTGAAGCAGAGAGTAATCTTGAAGGATTTGCATATTATCCTATAACAGAATCATAATTTAGTGTTTATATTTGATATAATGAATTTTAAGTAGGTTTATACATTCTATAATTAATACCTTATCAATTTTTAAAGCCTGGGTATAACATTTTAATGCTTCGCCATAATTCTTATCGGATCGATGTAACAATCCGTATACATGCCAGCCTAATTAAAGATTATATTTTGTATTTGTTATAAAAAGCAGATAAATGACCCTAATGAAAAAATGATAATTACAGATATGGCTTTTCAGATCAGATCGGAGGCCCTTCCGCACGAATTCTCGAGCATCATCTTTCTTATCCATATGGTTAAGAAATAAACCTTTCATAGCTAACGTTTCTAATCAACGGAAATTTTTTTTTTTTTGTCATTTTGAAAATTAAAAAAAAAAAGATAGCTAAAAGAATTATCCGAAGAAACTATATGCAACAAGAGTATGTACCCCCATGTTCTGGATACTTTTTCAGTATTTGTTCGGTGGCCTTCGATCCTTTTTTATATTGCTTGAATTCATAGTATTTCTAGTTATATAAAAATTTCAGTTCAATGCTTGAAACTTTTCAGTATCTTAACTCACTTGTAAATGATACTTGCGAGAATTTGTTTGAAAAGAGCGGATTCTTTTGACGGTAATTCCCTCATAGCAAATATGATTTGTGTCGTGTCCGAAGAACGTATACGCGGCAATTAAAAAAACTACCCGGATATATCTTTTTTTTTTTCTAGATTATTTGAACATTACCGATACGATAACAAAATTTATCGGTATGTTTCTAGATTATCAATATCATTTACTGGCCAAATTTAAACCTTTAAAGTGGGCCGAGTAGTGAAACTCTGGCTAAATTTACTAGGGTATACTGTACAATATTTTTTAGAGCAAGCTAGGATTTTTTTGGTGATAGTTTAACTAATATCTGAGTGACAAATACATTTATATCACCCAATTCTTTATTTTGGTGAAATTTGCAAATATACCATTATAAATGGAATAAAATAAATATTGTAAATATAAAACTATTTTTTAAAAAATTTTTTTTAAGGATGCTTTCTTATAATTTTTCTTTGATTTCAAATCTTCAGTTGCTTTTGATTTTTGCATTCCCAATATTTTGGAATTACCTGTTGAAAAAAACAATAAATAAATACAAGCTATTATTATTAATATGAAGAAAAATTACTATTTTACTACTTACACGACGAACCATCTAACAATCTATCGGCTAAATCACGCACAATACCGCTTGTTAAATATTTAGTAGAAACACCACGTGGAACTAATGGTTGAGATAATAATTCTTTCAACTGAAGTTTTAATGCTTGAATTTTATATTTAGCAGAATTATTGTTCTGTTTTCCTTTATTATTTTCTTTTTTATTGAAAAGAAGATCGTCGTCCAAGTCCACTTCTAGATCTTCCGCAACTTTCTTAAACCATTCATCATCATGGCTGCCCTGAAACAAAAAAAATAAAATAAATAAATATATATATATATATATAACATCAAAAACAAAAAATAAAGTATATTAATCAAAAAAAAAAACCTTTTGCAACTTGTGTTCTTCTTGATCTATTTGTCTTGCCAAATCAATACGTTGTTTCATGGAATTGATTACTCCACCATCGATTGGAAAATTAGCTATCCCATTGGCTTTTAAAAATAAAATAAGAAATTAAGTACACAAAGCAAATGATATATTATGTAAATGTAACTAACCTTTTTTCAATTCTTGGCAAATTTTTCGGTACAACAATGACTCTTCTGGACTGCATAACATCAAACTGATACCTTCATTACGCGCACGAGCTGTGCGGCCACTCCGATGAATATATATCTACAATAAGCATATTAAAAGTGTTAGACGAATAATAAGTCATCCTGAATAAACTGATAGGAATACATACATCTCCAGAACGTGGCAATTGATAATGTATCACATGCTCAACGAGCGGAATGTCCAGTCCTCGGGCTGCCACGTCACTAGCGACCATCACTGCGTTCGGATTCTGCTTGAACCTAGTAAATTATTGTTGAGTTTGGATTTAATAAATACAAATTATAAACAACATATTTATCTTACCGATCCAAATTTTTTAATCTTTGTCTTTGCTGCATCTGAGCGTGAAGGCCAAAAACTTCTGTATTAAGTAATCTCATTATCGGAATCAATCGACGAATCGCATCAATACTGTTCACAAATACAAGAGTTCTACCAGGATATCGTGTAATGAAATAATACATGTATAAATCCTAAGTAATTACAAATATTTTAATATGTTGCGATGTTTATGTGACTTGTTAAGAAATTATAAACCTTCTCTTTAACTAAGCAATCAATTTTAGATTCTTGCAAAGTTTCTACAATAGAACCTTTTGGGGTAATATCCACGTACAATGGATTAGAATCTCTGAATTCTATTCTATTCATCAGCTCAGCTGTTTTGGTACATAAAAGTGTAAAAAAAAATCAAGGTTTTAGTAAAATAGTGATATCACAAAAAGATAAATTAATTACCAATTGTTCCCTGTGAATTCAAAGTTTTATCAAGTGCTTTTTTCCGGTTTATATCACTTTTTAAATTATTGTCCAAAGTAGCTGAGTATATAAATGTTTGTCTCGTGGAAAAATCTAAGTGACAAGCGACCATTAATGAAATTGAACATTACAGACTAATTGATAAACTAATGGTTAATTAATTCACCTTTTGCACCATCTCGTATTATTTTATCATCCTGTTCGCTATTAATTGTAAAAAGTTTACTTGTAAGATAAGAACATAAAATTATGAATAATGAAGAAATCGACTCACTGTTTATTCCTTGATAATTTCGAAAGTATATAATTCAACTCTTTAAAATGTCCAGCTTCTAACATCCTATCTGCTTCATCCAGGACCAAAAATCGGATATTACGAAGTGAATTTAGGTATTCATCATTCTATGCGATTCGTAATTTGTCATGACGCTTCATGAAATTTTAAATATGCAAATGATAACACTGTTGATTTGTTACCTCGGAAAGAAGTTCCCATAATCGTCCCGGAGTACCAACAATTATGCTAGGATTCTTTTCAAGTAATCGTTTTTGCTTTTGAATTGCCATACCACCAACGACTGTCATTATCTAAACACGTAATTCAATGAGAATTGTAAATAACATGAGTTACATTAAACCCATATAAGGAATCCTTACATTAATTGTAGCGAATTTTCCAACATTCTGAAGATGATTTTTAATTTGTATAGCTAATTCTCTTGTTGGCGTCAGGATAAGTGCAACCAATTGCTTTTCGAAATTTTTCTTTTTTTGTTTGATTATATACTCCAAGATTGGAATTCCAAAGGCAAGTGTTTTTCCAGACCCCGTTTCCGCCTTACCAATGACATCTCGTCCGCTCAAACCTGAATGAAGAGTCTTTTCTTGAATTGGAGTTGGTCTTTCAAACTTGAGGGCTTTTAATCCATTTATTATAGTTGAAGAAAGGTTAAATCCTTTCCAGGCAGAGATATCAATATCTATAATAACGACATCAATAATCGAATAATTTAATGTATTAAGGGAAAAAAATAAAAATAAAAATAGATCACCTTCATTTCCAATTTGAAGATTCGAATCTTCATCTTCATCTTGCCCTGATACCAAGTTTTCATTTGAATGAGAAGTAGACGCCATGTTAAGGCATGGTTGCTGACTTTTTAAAAATAATTGTTCATCAAATGTGTCCAAATCCTGATAGTTTGATAACTCTTCTATAGGTAATGGTTCGTGAGGTTTAGCAGGTGGATTTTTATTTTTTTTGGTGGTCGGTTTATTAAATGTAACTTTCTTTATAAATAGTCAATATTATGAGTATCGTTTAGGACAAAAGTTAACACTAAACATAATTACAGGTAAAGCAGGTAAAGGGAACTGCATCATAATATCCACCTTAAATCTAATCGTGTTCCCTTTGGTTGTGGTTTCTTCATATTCAACATCAACATCATCGATTTCTTCCAAACATACAAAGCCACCCACATCATCATCACCGTCTAGAAATACGGATTCTGGGTATGTAACCTCAGACCAACCAAGATCATTTACATCTATAAAATCCTCTTTTTTATGTCTTTTTTTCTTAGGATTCCCTTTATCCGCCTTTAGTAGTTTACGCTTTTTGCGTTTTGTTGATGTTTCCGTAAAGTTGTTAACTGAAAATTTTTTTGATTTTGTAAAAATATTTTGACTTTTATACTTGGGCATTTCGAACTTTAAATCGTAAAAAGAGCGATATTTTATCTCGAGATAGATCTGGATCTCGATTATAATTATACGTACTACTGCACATGATCGTTACACAGCTCATCCCAAGAAAATTTCTCCACACGTGATATTATTATCCGACTCGTGTAACGTAATTTTTTCAAAAAGGCCGTACGTATACGAACTACTCGGGATTTTGGTACTGTCGGAATTTTGTTTCTTTATCATTAGAGATGGGCAAGGTAATAATGTAAGTAATAATTACTTATTTTTTACCCCAATATATACACATACATATTATTACT